AAAAGCAGGGGCCCAAACAGATATTTGTACACCAATATTTATAGCAGCATTATTCATTCACAATAGTCAAAAAGTAAAAATAACACAAATGCCAATCAACAGATGGACAGATAAACAAAATGTGGCAGGGGTAAGTGAAAAGAGCCACACACAGAAAGACACAAAAGACTGCTATTTCACTTACATTAGGCACCTAGAGTAGTCAAACTCATGGAGACAAAAAAGAATGATGGTTGCTAGGAGTAGGAGAGGGGAGATGAGCAGAAATGAGTAATAGAGTTTCAGTTTGGGAAGACGTGAAAGTACTGGAGATGGACAGCAGTGATAGTTGTACAAATAATGTAATATTAATGCCACTGACCTGTATACTTAAAATGACTAAAATAGTAATTTTATGTTATAAATATTTTATTACAATAACACACACACACACACACACACACACACACACACACACACACACATGAACTATCTCTAGAAGAATTAGAGTAACTTATAACAAAGTTTGCCATTAGAAAGGAGAACTGGATAGTCAGGAACTAGAGGTGAAGAAATTCACTTGTCACGATAGATTCTTTGTACCTTTAGAATTTTCTTTCATGTAACACCTATCATCTATGAAAACTTCAATTTTCCATTAATTTTACCAATTGATTTCTAAACACAGAGAAGGAAAATATACATAAGTAAAAGTGTATTGTGGTCTATATTTTGTATAAGGCAAAAATCAAAACAACACTTATTAGTGATAGTAAAAATCTACCCAATGTTTTTCAAGCAGCTAGGTTTAAAAAATTCTTTAATGAAGAAAATGGAAAGGAAAATGAAATGCTTTAGAACTTAACAGATCAGCACAAAATACATAAAATAAGTAAAAAATTTTATGAGGGTTTTTGAAGTACAAAAGACACTGCTCACCAAGATTAAATAGGGGGAAAAACTTTTTAATTATTTACTTAAAGATTAAAAGAGTGCAGGAGGCACAGTGGCACAGGCCCATAATTCCAGCAACCAAAGAGGCTAAGGCAAGAGGATCAAGTTCAAGGCAACTTAGCAACACCCTGTCTCTAAAATAAAAGATAAAAAGGTCTGGGGATGAAGCTCAGTGACAGACTGCCCTGGATCCAGTCGCCAGTACTGAAAAAGAGAGAGAGAGAGAGAGAGAGAGAGAGAGAATATAATGTGGAATTATTATTATAATAGCTTGTAATAGCTAATATTGTTCTAAGCTTTAAATCCCATGCAAATTTGTTTCAAGCTAACATTGTTCTAAGAGCTTTAAAAAATTTCCACTGACAATTGCAGTCCTCACAGACTATTTGGTCTATTTGATCTCAGAACTTCTTTTATACCTTTAAAAACTACTAAGGTTTTCAAAGAGCTTTGATTTATGGGAGTTATATGGATCTCTCTTTACTATGCTAGAAATTAAACCTAAAATTTAAAAAATATGTTTTCCTTAATTGTTTAGAAATAATAAATAAGCCTATCATATGCTTATGTAAGTAACATAATTTCTATGAAAAGAAATTACTGTCCATAGGAAAAAAATTTAATTAGAAGACTGGTATTGTTTTACATGTTTGCAAATCTATTAATGCTTAGCATAAAAAAAGACAGTTGGAAACTCATATCTAGTTCTGTTCAATCTATTGTAGTATCACCCCTCATGTAGACTTTGAAAAACTCCAATATACACTTGTGAAAAAAAAAACAAGAATGAAAATAGCTAAGACTATCCAAGCTTTATTATGAAAATAGTTTTGACTTCACAGTTTCCTAAAAGGGCCTTAGGGACATACGAGGGTCTCCAAATCACACTTTGAGAACCACTTACACTGCCAATCTTATGAGGCAAATGTAAAAGCAGATGCATAAAAAATAAATAAATAAATAAATTACTACTAGTCACAGAGCTCTGCCTGGAACCCTGGGAGTCTGATTCCAGACCTCAGGGCCACCTTTCCCAGGTCTGAGGAAAGCACAGAGACCAATCTGTATGGCTTTTAGATAGTGGTGAACAACCCACTTTGTTCTATTTAATGTGATAAAATTTCAAATTAAATCTTTCAATTTTTGCACAGCAGAGATAAGGAGAAAGGAGAGAAGCTGTCCTATAGGAAAAACAGCACTATAGCTTCTCCTGAGGAATAAAGCACAAGGGAGGGACAGTTGACACCTGTGAACAACTCTCAAAAATCATCTCTCTTTTCCTAACCAACCCAAGCCATTTGTATCTTCCCAACACTCTCACTCCATTCCAAGATACTTCTTTATACAACCCGATCTTTATACAGAAATTGCCTTCAATCCTTAACTAAAAGGTTTAAAAAGAATAAGAGTCTAGTTTTATCAGCTATTAAAACATTTTATAAATTGACAGCAGTTAATATAGTACTAAACTAGTATTAAGATTGAAAGTAAAGCAATATATCAGAATACAGATCTAATTCAATTCAATTACACAAAATGTAACTTGTTATAAAGTAGGTCTAACAATCCAAAAAGGAAATAAACTGTTTAGTAAGTGAAAAAAAGAAGTCGACTTAGACCTTAACTTTTAATCATACGCTAAAATAAATTCCAGACAGATTAACTGCTTTTTACAAATGCAGTCTCAATTGAGTCTGGGAAAGGCAGGAGCCAACTCAGCTCATAATCGAATTCCCAGGGCCTCCCTGGGGCTGGTGAACAGTCAACTTGGAAAATGCTACCCTGAACAAAAGAAATTAATTTGACTTCCAGCCTTGCTGCTAACCTATTGTGAGATCTTGGGCAAGTCATTTTGTTTCTGTCCTTAATTTTCAATTTAGAAAGAGAGGATGATAATGATACCAGCAGCATAAGAACATTTGTTATAAACTTTGAAATGCCTTACAGATTATCATAAGGAAAGAAGATTAGAGAGCTGCATTCATTCATGTTGCTACTCCTCAAATGTTCTTAGCATTGATACTTTAATGCTAAAAACAATGCCAATTTTTTTCCTAACCATCTTTAATAAAGTGGACCACTTAAGTTGTATGAACATACACTTTCCCTCAGGGCCTCAGTAAAGTTATTTTAATTTGGAATGGGAAAAAGATGTAGCTCATAAACATGTTTATTTTTCCTGAACCAGCCTTTTTACCAAAAAAGGCCTGGCTGGCATTACTGCTGTAAGGAAGGTTGTCTTGCTTCGTTCAGAAAGCCCAAGGGTAGGAGAGAAGCCCACAAAGTACATGAAGGAGAGGGTTGGGACAGGGGGCATAAGCACAGCAAAAGACTTGGAAGGAAGAAAGCTCTGATTGACACCAAGGAAACTATGTACTTTCTCTCTGTCTCCAAAGACTGGAGATGACACTATTTACCACACAAATAACATTAAAATGAAGTAATGTACAGGAAGCCCCATCCTCCCAACTAGCAAGCCATTTAGTTAATGCTTTTCTTCTCTCTTTCCCCTTGCTCATAAAGCTATACTCTCCCGGACTTCTCTAACAATACCTGTGTCCCCTCAGGAGAGCCCTTCGGCTTCAACCAGAGGTCTGCAGTCAAGGCACTTTCCATTCATATAATTTAGTGGTGTGAATTGCTGGCAGGATTAACAAGCTCTGTACCCCATCCAAAACTCTACCACCATCACCATCCCCTCACCCACTCATTTTCCTGCTAAAACATTCATAGAGTGTCATTCCCATAGAATGCGATGTGACCAGAGCCACTTGGAGCTATGCTGCAGTCCATTTACCACGTTTCCATGGCAATGACTAAGCCAAAGCTTGAGCAAGGCCTAATATAGTTAAGGTGTAGACAAGACAAATTGAACCCTATTCTCCACTCTATCCATAAACAGAGCTGTGGCATAAAACAATACTTTATAAAGTGTTACTATAGGGCTGAGGATGAAGCAAGAGCACTTCACTAGCATGTGTGAAGCCCTAGATTTAATTCCTAGCACCACCAACCATCATCAACATAAAGTAAAATAATGCACTTGTTAGTCCTATTCCTTCAGGTATAAGAAGCTAAGGAATACATATAGTTACAACTTATCTTAAAAATATAGTTACAACTATATTACAAAATACATATAGTTACAACTTACCAAATAAAGCCTTATATTGTTCATTCAGTTTAGCTCAGGTTTAAAACACTTAGTCTCCTGACTAGTATTAGAAGTGATGGCACTGGTTTATAAGTATCAAAACTGTTCCTTCCAGTACCATTTTTAAATCACTTCCAACTGCTTTGCTGACCTCTATACCAGGCACTAAGTCTTGAGGTTGTGATTCCCACCAAACAATCCCCATTTTGCCTGGCTTCCTAGAACAATGGTTTCATTGCCTTTCTTTGTTATATGTGGCACAAATTCTACAATGTCTATTAAGACTTATGTATAGTGTCCTTTACCTTTTGTCTTTCTTTGTCTCCTGTACTCTACTCCAGGTCTACCAATATTCATGTCTTTCATTTTGTGTGTGTATATATGTTCTGTTTTGGTTCTTTTGGCAGTTTTACTTTGAAGTGTACCATTATTTGGGTATTCTTTTGTGTATGTGTGTGTGTGTGTGTCTGTGTGTGTGTGTGTATACATATATATATTTCTTTGTGGTACTGAGGATTGTATTTAAGCATTATTATTCATTCTTTGTGATAATTCCTTTCATGGATTGATAATACATATTATTTATTTTTTAAAGCAAATCCTATTCAATTACTTAACAACTATTTATTGAATATCAACTAAGTATTAAAGCTACAGAATTCATCTCAGAGTTTATATAATCTATAGGTTGGAATAGACAATTAGAAACATATTCTATCCACTAGACTAAGGAATAAGAAACAGAATTTACCTGAAGCAATAGCTAGCAAAAACATTTTATGGGGCACAGGAAAATAAATACTTTAAACAGCATAATAAATCCAAGGTACASTGTAAAAAGAAAAGATTCCTCTTCTGTTTTATGAATTGTATCAGTAATTTATAATTTGAACAACAATAAATTTTTCCAAACCTCACATCCACTGTATTATTCGACTCATGGTCAAACACTTCAAATGCTTCTTTGATTTTTTTGTGAAATTCTGCTACTGCTAACTCTGCAAAAGAATAAGTAAATAAAATTATTTTACTTTAATTTTGAATTCAAAACAAAAATCTCAATAACCAGACTAGAAATCTTAATAAGGAAGAACATGAAAGATTCTTTCTTGATCTTCTTTATGTATCATTTAGCATGTTTAACTTCCTCTGGAGTTGTCAAAGAATAGAACAGATTATTTTTTCAAAATTCTGAAGAGTGATATAAAGGCTTTTTAATCTCAATCTTAAATGCACAGTCAATTAGTTTTCACATATGCATATACTCATGGGACTATTACCCATATGAAATTAGTAGACTATATTTAGGTATCTTCCATCCCAAGTAGTTTATTCAGCCTGACAGGCTGAGTAAATCCAATGCAACAAATACCACTGTCTTATCAATAGTGTGTCTTGCCTACCCTGCTTTATTCTACACTTGAGGAGAGCTGAAGTTGTGGGATATAAGGAATTAAAAACCAACATATGATACTACCTCATCATACAGTTTTCGAACAAGTTTGGGACTAAGGCTAACTTATATGAAATAGTGATGTACCTACTATGTCCTAGACACTACTCTAGTTGATAGAGTTACAGCCAGGAACAAAATAGGCCAAACAAAACAAACAAACTTGCCTGTATGGAAAGATATTTTTATTGGGAAAGATATATAACCTTGCACATACTTAGTAAAATATATAGTAAGTCAAATGGGCTTAAAAATAGGACAAAAATTGGGGCTGGGGTTATGGCTCAGCTCAGTAGTAGAGCACTCACCTCGMACATGTGAGGGCCTGGGTTCAATCCTTAGCACCACAAAAAACAAATAAGTAAAAATAAAGGCATTGTGTCCAACTACAACTAAAAAATAAATATTTTTTTAAATAGAGCAAAAATAACTAGAGGAGGGATGGGGGGTGAGACTGGGGTGATCTAGTGATTTGGAAAGGCCTGTCTCCGTGATAAGGTGATATTTGGGCAGACACTGACGGAGGGAAGAGAGCCAGTCTTGTGAATATCTCTAGGAAGAGATTTTTGGGAAGAGAGAAAGAAAGTGCAGAATAGTAGAAAATAAAATCAGAAAGCATGGGTTTGAGGGTGGGGAATGAATTCTCTAAGAATTCTGTAGCTACTTTAAGGATTTTGGCTTTTGCTCTGAATGTAGTGAGAAACTACTGAAGCAGCAAAATGACTTCATAGGCTTATATTCACTTTAGTCATTAAGTTGAGAAGACATTGAACAAAGATGGAAGCAGAACTGTTAGGAGGCTATTCCAGTATTCTAGGTAAGATACTATGGTGGTTTGGACCAGTGTGATAGCAGTGGAGACAGTAAGGATTCTGGATATATTCTAAAGAAGAAAGTCAGTAGCATTTGCTTATTATCGATTGCTTATTCTATTGATTCAATTCTGATTTGCATTTTTATCACCACTGTACTATTATAATTATTGCCACTATATTAGTCCCTTTTTTGGGAATGTTCACTAACATTCTCACCAGTTTATTCTTCCAAATGAAATTTAGAAATCCAAATAAAATTTTAAAATTCAAAGTAAAATACCATTGGTAGTTTTTGTTTTTGTAATCAATCTATACACTGAAAAATAAATAACATTTTAAAATATTAGTTTTCATGTCTAAGAGCAATGCTTAGTTATATGTCCCTTTTTACATATTTAAATTAAATAATACACATTATAGGTTTCCCCATACAATTACATACAATTCTCCAAGATTATGCCTGAGTATTTTATGGGATTTATATATACTATGATATTTATCTTTTTTTAATAAGAATGTCCATAGAGGCTTAATATAATGAAAAATTCAAAAACAGAATAAATACATTGTTATGATGTCATATGAAAAAATATTTACAACATAATGAGTAAATAACAAACACCATCAAGAACATGCAAACAATATTTAACAAAGAAGACAGACTAAAATTCATACTGTATAATTCCACTAATATTAAGTGCAAAAAAGAAAATTAATCTCCATCCAGAAAGATCAGAATAGAGGTTGGATGAAGGAAAATACATGAYAGAGACTTCTGAGAGGCTAGACAAACTCTATAGAGTGATCTGAGTGGTGGTTACATAGGTGTATACATATATAAAAATTAACCTTAATTTTTTTGTTTTCAAAAATTCAAATAGTTCAAAATTTTCTAGGCTTTGTTTTATTTTAATGAGTTTTACTGAGGCTAAACTTACAAATAATGGATTGACAAATGTTAACTGTATAATTTTACAAGTTTTGATAAATATGTACATGTTTATAATCATCACTATGTCATAGAACATTTCTATTACCCCCAAATTGTCCATCGTGCCCTTCTGCAGTCTAGTCCATCTCCTTCATTCATCCTGCTCCTAAATAAATGGCATCATACAAGGTAGTCTTTGGTGTCTGATATCTCTCAGCTATAGCAACACTTGACATTTATTCATCTTATTTTGTTTATCAGAAATGTATTCCTTTTTACTACTGAATAGCACTCTATGAACATTTTTATCCATTCAGTAATTGATGGCTATTTGAGGTACTCTCAGTTTGGAGTCGTTATGACTATGGCAAAGATGAACATCTGGGTACATGTAGACATGTTTTCTTTTGACTTAGGAGTGGAAAGAGTGGATCATAACATAACTATCAAATATTATAAGACATTGAAATGACTTCCAAGGTGATTATATCATTTTATATTTCTGACACTAATTATATGGGAATTCCATTTGTCCCACATTCTCACCAGTCCTTGAAAGTCAGTATTTTTAATTTCATCATTCTAGTGGGATTTTTAATTTTCATTTTCTTAATGAGCAGTGATGCTGAGCATGTTCTCATATGCTTATTTGCAATTTGTATATCTTTTTTAATGAATTGACTGCCAAATGTTTTTACCCATTTCTAATCAGTTTCATTTTTTAAAATTTTTTTTAGTTGTTGGTGGTCCTTTATTTTATTCATTTATGTATATGTGGCGCTGAGCATTGAACCTAATGCCTCATACATGTGAGGTAAGCACTCTAACACTGAGCCACAACTCCAACCCAATTTGTTTCATTATTGATTTGTAAGAATTCTTTATATATTTTAGGTATAAGTCTATTATTAGATATGCATTTTGAAAAATATATTTGTCTATGTTTTGGATATTTATCTTTTTAACCCCTGTAATTTCTGGTATTTGAAGTAAATGTTGATTGTTTTATTGTTGTTGTTGTTGTTGTTGTTTTGGGGGGAGGGGTACTGGGGATTGAACTCAGGGGAACTCTACCACTGAGCCACATCCCCAGCCCTATTTTTGTATTTTATTTAGAGACAGGGTCTCACTGAGTTGCCTAGCACATTGCTTTTTGCTGAGGCTGGCTTTGAACTGAAGATCCTCCTGCCTCAGCCCCCACCCTGCCACCCCCCCAACCCCATGTCTGGGATTACAGGCATGCACCACCACACCCAGCTTATTTTTATTTTTGCTATTGATCCACTTCCTGAAACCTTTTATTAATTAGAATCCTTCTTTGGTTGATTATACTGTATTTTCTGAAAATATACTTTGTATTATCTTATCCTCTTTTTCTCCTTCATGATTTATGGCATAAAGCACATGCCAAGCATATGCTCTACCTACCACTGAACTATAGAGGAAATTCTGAGGCACCAGTTGAGAATAAAAGATTGGTACTTTGTAGAACTCTAATCTGGATTAAGGTACATATTTTATATTTTCTAAATTTTTTTTTTGTATGTGTGTGGAGCTAGAGATCAAACTCAGGGCCCTCTCAACCAACTGAGCTATATCCCTAGCCCTATTTTCTGAATATTTTGTGTCATCTTATCAAGAACTATAAAAACAACATTGATTCATACAGTGATAACAATTATTTAATAGACTATAACACTAGTCTTTCACCAATAAATGGAATGCTGACCTTCACTCTGAAATAGCTAAAACTTTGAATTTAAGGCAGTATCCTTCCATTTCTATTATATTAAGAACAGACACTTTTAACAACCTCTTACCAATATTTTATAAAATATGTTCTGTTTAACATTTGTTCCTTAAGGCGCTTCTCAATAAAAGGTTTCAGTGATCAAAAAATGCCTAGGAAACTTTGAATATAATGTTTATATATAACATTTATATATATGGTTTTATAGAGAGATTCATAATGAATATTAGTTAAGTCTTTCAGATATTTTACAGTGTAAAAAAAAATCTTGTTAATTTTAACACATTATCCAAAGCTAGTTAACAACAGAGTCCCTTCTTTTCAATTATCATCGATCAGGAATAATCAATGCCTTAATATATAGGACTCACAAATCCTTACCCATGGGACACTGGTATAATGAATGGCTGCACTCCTAGCCTCAAGACTCAAGAAAGAAAATCAACATACAAAAATCAGTCACAAGGCTGGGGTTGTGGCTCAGCGGTAGAGTACTCGCCTAGTATGTGCAAGGTCCTGGGTTCGATCCTCAGCACTGCGTATAAATAAATAAATAAATAAATAAAATTAAATAAAGGCATTGTGTCTATTTAAAAAAATCAGTCACATATCTAGATATAACAACAAATAATCAGAAAAAGAAATTAAGTAAACAATTCTATTTACAATAGTATAAAAAAAGGAAAATAGTAATAAATCTAATCAAAGAGGCAAAAGACTTGTAAACTAAAAACTAAAACCATTGTTGAAAGAAACTAAAGACATAAATAAATGGAAAGACATGCCATGTTCATAGATTGGCAGACTTAATATTGTTAAGATGGTTAACCTATATGTTATAGGTTAAACAGTGATGTCTCCCCAGCCCCAAATTCATATGTTGATGTCCTAATCCTCAGCACCTCAGAATGTGACCTTATTTGGAAATAGGATCATAACAGATATAATAATTAATTAAATTAAGATGAGGTCATACTGCAGTGGGCCACTAATCCAATATTACTAGTGTCCTCATAAACATGGAAAATTTGAACAGAAAGATATGCACACAAAAACGCCATATAAAGATGAAGGCAGAGATCAGAGTAATGATGCAAAAGCCAAGGAAACCACTAGAAGCTAGAATGGGAAGGAACATGGAACAAATTTTCTTGATATCTGACTTCTAGTCTTCAGAACAATAATTTCTGATGATCAAGCCACTCATTTTGTGGTACTTGTTATAGAAACCCTAGCAAATGAATACATTAACAAAAGAGATCTATAGATTTAATGTAATTCTTATGAAGATCTTGATGGCATTGTTTACAGAATAGGTAAAATCATTCTGAAATGCACATGGAATCCCCCCACAAAAAGAGAACATAGTTGAAGGATTCATACTTCCTGATTCAAAACTAACTACAAGCTACAGTAATCAAACTGATATTAGAACAGACATATAGCCTGTGGAATGAAAAAGAAATGAACCATGTATGAATGGTCAACTGACTCGGGGTGAGAGGTACTTTGGTCTGAACCCAGGCCTCACGCATACTTCACACACACTGCACCATGGAGCTACATATCCAGCAAGGTCAACTGACTTTTGACAAGAATGCCAAGAACATTCACTAGGGAAAAACAGTCTTTTCAACAAATAGTACAGGTGAGATTGGATATTCATATGCAAAAAATAAAGTTGCATCCTCCTGATACAATACATACAGAAATGAACTCCAAATGTTTGGTCTCCATTTCTCTTCCTTCCTTCTCATTCATATTCTGCCGCAGTCTGGCTGGGCACAATTCATGAGCCACTTGTCAAGCAGAAACGAACTTTATTTTTAGAACACACACGCCACACCACACGAGCTCTTCAGGAATTCCCTCAGAGCCCAACTGCCACCACCGGCTTCCCACAAGCCTCTCAACCTCCCCCACTCCTCCTGCTCTTGAGGCCGATTGGCTGGGTCGCATGGGCGGAGCCAAAAAAAGTCCCCCAATGAGCAGCTCCGTGGTCTGAAAGGGCAGGGAAACAGCCCAATGAGCATCACCGCAGAGGAGCC